GGCCTCACCCTGCGTCCCTGTTCAGCATGGAAGAGCCAGAGCAGTCTGTATACCTATTCCCTATTGGCAATATGAGTAACCCCTTCAGAGGATGGTGTGATAAGAATAGGAGATAGGAATTGGCTAGGCAGTTAGGGTAAAAAGACTCCAAAGAAAAGTAGCCAGTTTCTTGGCTAAAAGTCAAAATGTTCTTGGGACTGTTAGCAACATACTCTGTTCCAAAGGCCAAAAATGTCAAAAGTCTTTGGGAGCTTGTATCTAATCCTTAAAAGATTTTAGGGTTACCTCTTCAGAGGGGGGAATGTTGGAGGGGAGGGAGTGGGCATGGATTTGATCAAAATACCTTATATACATGTATGAAATTCTCAATAATGTTTTTTTAAAAATTAAAAAAAGAATAAGTTAAAACATAAATTATAATGTACTTAAATAATTTGATTGTTACAAATAAACATGCTAATATTTCAAAAAAATAAAATAAAATAAAATTGAATGAGTTTAAAAACAAGCCGGGCGTGGTGGTGCACACCTTTAATCCCAGGACTAGGGAGGCAGAGGCAGGCGGATCTCCGTGAGTTCAAGGCCAGCCTGGTCTACATAGTGAGTTCCAGGACAGCTAAAACAGGGAGACCCTGTCTCAAAAAGACCAAAAAAAACCCCCATAGTCTCAGCATTTTAGAAGGGACACTCACCCTATCACCATTTTCTTTACATGCCTGGTACGTGTCAATAGCGAGAAAAGCCCTGATTGTACTGGCACACTCAGAAAAAACGTCATTCAACTATGCCATGAAGGAGGCCGCTGTAGAGTCTCTGAAGAATAAAGGGTGGGAAGTGATGGAGTCTGACCTGTACGCCATGAACTTCAACCCAATCATTTCCAGAAAGGACATCACAGGTGGGAGCTGCCCCTCCCAAAGGATGGTGGGATCTGAAGCCCAGTCACAGCTCCTCTTTCCTCCTGGCAGGTAAACTGAAGGATCCTGAGAACTTTCAGCTTGCTCCCGAGACTGCTTTAGCCTACAAAGAGGGCCGCTTGAGCCCAGATATCGTGGCTGAACAGAAGAAGCTGGAAGCTGCGGACCTTGTGATATTTCAGGTATGGTGGGGACTGGACATCCTCAGGAGGTGTGTCTGTTATGGTCTTAGGCTTGTCACCTAATTAGCTTTGGGACTTCAGAACTGTCACTTCTACACTCAGTGCATTCTCTGTGAATAAGTTTGTCACCTCACAAGTGTGTCTGTCCTACTTTGTTTATTTGATGTATTTATTCTGATTTTATGTGTATGAGTATTTTGCCTGCATGTATGTAAGTGCACTTATATTGTGCAATGCCCATGGAAGCCAGAACAGGGTGTTGGATAACCTGAAAATGAAATTATGAACAATTGTTAGCAGCCATGTTGGAGCTGGGAACTGACCCAGTATTCTACAAGAGCAGCCAGTGCTCTTAACTGCTGAGCTATCTTTCCAGCTCTTTTTACTTTTTAATTTTTATTTTGATCTTTTTGAGATGGGGTCTCCCTGCAACCCCAGCTGGCCTGGAACTCACTATGGAGACCAGGTGTTATGGAGCCTGGGACTACTGAGAAAAGACCACCAGACTCAATTCAGATCGGGATAAGATTTTATTCAAGCTAGCTTGGACTGCAGTCTCCCTATGGGGTTAGTGCTGCAGTGGGGAGGGAGAAGAAAAGGGGATCTTTTAAAGCTAAAAACTGCAAAAGGAATGTTGACAAGGTGGTCCCTGAATAGCGGGGAGTCATGGTCTACATGTCAATGTACCCTAAAATAGCAAAACAAGCAAGTTACAGAAGCCAAAATCAGCAGTTAGTCATATCATAACAATTTTGTTTTCTATATGTCTAGAAAGCAAATGGCTGTGGCAGCATTCTCCTGGGAGGAAAGGAGGAAAGGGGTCAAGGTTTCTTAAAAAGAATCCTTGAGCTAGAAATTACACTATGGCTAAGCTTTTAAGATGGCTACTTTATCCAAAATGGAGTCAGTTTGGTCAGTACAAACTGAACAAATTCCCAGAAACTTTGTCAAGACCAAACCATGAAGAAAGAGAAAAATCTGAATTGACTTATCATTAGTAAAATAATTGAACCAGTAATTTAAAAAAGAATTGTGTGGTTGCCCATGGAGGCCCTGGAGTTGGAGTTATAGGCTGTTGTGAGCCGCCAGAATAGGTGTTGGGAACTGAACTTGGGTCCTCTGTAAAAGCAGTACATGTTCTTAACTGCTGAGCCATCTCTCCAGTCCCAACCTTTTTTTATTTTTATTGTTTTTGAGACAGGGTCTCATGTATCCCAGGCTGGCCTCGAACTCCTATGTAGCCAAGAATGATCTTAAACTTCTGATCCTCCTGCCTCTACCTGCCCAGTGTTGGGATTACAGGCAAAGACGTGATGCTAAGGATTGAACCCAGAGCTAGGCAAGCACTCTGCCAACAGAGAGGGCAGCACCCCAGCCCTCCATTGGCCTTGAACACGATGAGTAGGTGGCTTTGGACACTTCCCCAGGAAGGAGATACAGGCTGCAGTTCCGGTCAGTCAGTTGCTAAGCACCCAGATGTTAAAGCCCTCCCTGCCCCGACCTCCAGGCCTTTGTTATGTGCAGTCAGCCAGTGCTTTGCACAATGCCTTTTGCATTATTTGAGGCGCTGGTATTTACCCAGGGTCCCGCATGGCAGGCAAGCCCTGTACCGTGGAGCTGCACGGGACAGCTTCTTGTTCTGTTTCTGCCACATTTTTCCATACTGCAGCAGGAGTAGCCGTCAGTGCTTGTCTGAATCGCCATGTTTTCGAATTGGCAGGAACCTTGGGTGATCTCACGTTTAGCTTCCATTGATGCCTAAGTTTCCTTCACTGTCTCACAGCTGTGCAGGTTGTACACGGTCAAATGGAGTTCCACCCGCCTCCCCCTGAAGTGCAGGGATTAAAGGCCTGTGCCGCCACACCCAGCTAGATGAGACATTTTTGAGGTGCTGCTGACTGAAAGCCCGGGCAGCGTGCTTGCTTGTGAGGAAGTGCTCTATTGTGAGCAGCACCCCTGCCCTAGGTTCAACTTTCTCAGTGGAATTTCCTATTAAATCTTGGTCACAGTGACTGGTTTTCTGTGTTTTTGAGTGACTTTGTTTATTTTAGATAATAGGATTGTAGATCCCTGTACACAAGAGAGTCAGTGTCATGCGTATTAATACAAGCTCTTGGGAAAACATTGATTCGGACATTGCTCCCTGGAGCAAATCTTACCTTCAGACTTTGCTGCTCAAACTTAGCTACCAAGTAGAATTTCTCAAGAATGACTCCTATGTGCACCTGGCTTTTTTCAGATCCAGCCAGTGTTTGTATTTTTAGGCAGAAACCAGGAGCCTAGATGACTGATAAAGGATAATAGTTTTCTCTTTTTATGTTATTCTGAGTTGAGAGCCTCCATATGTGTTTTTTCTGTTACTGTGTTTTGATTTGGTTTTAGCAAGGTCTCACTATATGAGGCCCTATTGGCCTCAAATTCATAGAGATCAACCTGCCTCTGCCTCCAGAGTGCTGGGACTAAAGGTATATACCACCACACCTGGCTCCATTTTATTTTTTTAAATTATGCTATACGAGTGAGTGCATGTGTGTATGTGTGTACATGCTCAAGGAGGCCAAAAAAGGGCATTGGATCTCCCTGGAGCTGGAGTTGCAGGTTGCTATGAGTTTCCTGACGTGGGTGCTGGGAAACGAACCTGGGTCCTCTATAAGATCAGCCAGTGCTCTTAACCACTGAGCCATCTCTCCAGCCCCCTAAGTAAAATATTTTTTTAAATACAGGGCTAATAACTTTGATAACTTTAATTTTTTTTTTGTCTTTTTGAGACAGGGTCTCCCTGTAGCCCCAGCTGTCCTGGAACTCACTATGTAGACTAGGCTGGCCTCGAACTCACAAAGATCCGCCTGCCTCTGCCTCCCAAGTGCTGGGATTAAAAGTGTGTGCCACCACACCCAACGATAACTTTAATTTAAAAAAATTTTATTTTTATTTATGTGTATGAGTTGAGTGTATTGCCTGCATGTATGTAGGTGCACCTAGGAGTGTAATGTCTGTGGATGTTAGACCCCTTGGAACAGTCAGGGACAGTTGGTAGCCATCATGTGGGTGCTGGGAACCAAACCCAGGTCCTCTTCACGAACAGCCAGTGCTCTTTACTGCTGAGCCATCTTTCTAGCCCTTTTATTTATTTTGAGACAGTGTCTTACTATGTTGCCTGGGCTAGCCTTGTACTCCTGATCCTTCAGCCTCAAGCTCCTAGTTGCTGGGATTATCATCACCATGCCCAGTTACAGTTCTTTTTCTTTGCTTTTTGAGATGGTCTCACTGTGTAGCCCAGGCTGGCCTTGATCACTCAATCTCCTGCCTGAGCCTCCTGAGTTTTGGAATAACATATACCCACAACCATACACAGCTTATTAGTGTGTGTGTGTGTGTGTGTGTGTGTGTGTGAGAGAGAGAGAGAGAGAGAGAGAGAGAGAGAGGGAGGGAGATGCTGACTAGGCTGACCTCAAACTCTTGGTGCCCTATGGGCAGAAGCTCAGCACCCTGATGTTTGCCTTGGCCATGGAGGGTGAGGGTGTAGGAGAGGTGGTGTGGGTTGGTGCCTCTGGTCTGACCTCTTGTATGTTTTCTGTCCCACAGTTCCCATTGCAGTGGTTTGGAGTGCCCGCCATTCTGAAAGGCTGGTTTGAGCGTGTGCTCATACCAGAGTTCGCCTACACATATGCTACCATGTATGACAACGGGCCTTTTCAGGTAAATGAACCATTGGAGAGAGTCTGCCCTGAGAGCCCAACTAGACACTAAGACCAAAGAGGGATCATTACAATGTTTTATAGATGAAATGATATGATGTTTTGGATTTGTTTTAAATTTTTTTGCATTTATTTATTGTGTGGATGGGAGCATGCAGGTGTCCCCAGATTTCCTCCTCTGTGGAGGCCAGAGGACAGCTTGCAGAAGTTGGTTCTCTCCTTCCACCATGTGTGCTTGGGGAACAGAACTCAGGTTATTAGATCTCACCAGACTTGGAATTTATTTTAAATTATTCTAGGAAAAAAAAATTAAGAAAACTAGAATGGCAGAATAATGAGAGTTGAAAGAGCTTGTTCGAGGCTTCATTATGCTGTTTCCTTTATGTAGGTTTGAGATTTTCCATAGCAAAAATAATATGATTAAATAAAAAGGAAAATCTTACTGACGTGGTGGCCCATACCTGCAATCCAAGCACTTGGGAGGTGAAGGCAGGAAAACCAGGACTCAGCTACATTGTGAGTTTTAGGCTAGCCTGGGCTACATGAGCTCCTGTCTGAAAAAAACAAAGATCAACTAAAGAGGCCCAAATATTGGGCAAGAAACATTTGTGACCTTTTAGATGACAAGACTTTATAGCACTGTAGAGAGACAGCTGGAAAGTCCAGCAGAGCCACCAACACTGGTATCAGTTCCCGTGACACCCCTAGGCTGCTGGCCACACGCCTTGACTGGCTTCAGACTATCTATGGACTGTCTAGTGGGTCCAACCTTTAGAAATCAGTACACGATTCTGTCATCTACAAAGTTCATGCTGAAGAATTGCTCAATCCAAATACACAAAAAAGCTGCCAACTTCCCCAACCCCTCACCCACGTCACCTCCTGTTTTAAGTAAGTTTTGAGTTGGGTCACATTCCTAGCTGTCCACAGCTGCATGCCAGCCGCAGGTTGGACACAACCAAAAGTGACACTTCTGCAGAGTCATGCTGAGGGCACAGAGGAGCCCACTTCGAAGTAACAGAACCAGTAAGGTGGACTGGAGTGTCCTTTTCCCTGGGGCTGGTTCATTAACTTTCTGGGACCCAGGAGAAGAGGGTGAGGAGGCTGTTCTCTCTTTCAGAATAAGAAGACCTTGCTTTCCATCACCACAGGGGGCAGCGGTTCCATGTACTCTCTCCAGGGCGTTCACGGGGACATGAACATTATTCTTTGGCCAATTCAGGTACCTGGTTTTCAGTGAACCATCAGGGGAATTTACTAGCTGAGCTTCCCATGGAGTCCAAACCCTCCAACCAGGAGCTGAGAACTGAGCTGAGGTGTGAAGAGGACAGGCTGGCAAGGACTCAGCAGTGCCTGGCTCTTCCTCCAGGAGCTTGCCCAATGGTCCAGGCCCTTGGGGGTGCATGCTCAAACGTGGTCTCCCAGCCAGTATGCACCTGGTCTTTGGCATGTGCAGCCTAGGGCCTTGGCTCTCTCCAGGAAACCAGCATCTCTCTAGTCTTCCTGGTCTCCTTCAAGTAGCTGCTGCAGTCTCACAGACTATGAGAGCCCAGAGGAAAGTAGTGAACCATTTTTTAAAATTTCATTATTAATAATTGCTGTGTTGAAGATTGAATCCAGGCCTGGAAAGTGCTGTACCACAGAATTATGCTTAGGACATTTTTTTGTTTTGCTATCCTTAAGAAAAAAAAAATTTGTGTGTCTGTGTGTGCACTTGTGTGTGTGTACGTGTGTGTGTGTCACAGGGTGTGTGTGGAGGTCAGAGGACAACGTTGGGGAGCTGGTTCTCACTTTCCGCCTTGTGCAGGCTCTCGTTTCTGCTGCTGTGATGAATTCTCCAGGCTAGTTGGCCTGGGAACTTCTGGGTGAGTCTCCTGTCTCTGCTTCCCATCTTGCGTAGAATACTGGGATTGCAGATGGTGGTTGTTTTGGAGACAGGGTCTCACTGGCCTGGAGCTCTCTCTGTAGACCAGGCTGACCTTGAACTCATAGAGACCCACCTGCTCCTGCTCCTGAGTGCTGGGATAAAGGTATGCGCCACCCTAGGAGGCTTCATCCTGCTCTTTTACTTTGATTCAGGGGATCTAACTCAGGTCCTCAGGCTGTGCAGCTACCACTTTTATCCACTGAGCCATTTCCCAGTCTTTTTATTTTCTTTTTCCTTTTCTCACTCTGAAAGCCCAGGCTTGCCTTGACCCTGTAGCAATCCTCCTGCCTCGGCCTCCTGAGCGCTGGGATTGGAAGGATAGCCCACCTGGCCTAGCTCCCCAGGATAAGAACTGATTTCCTCCTGCTAGTCTCAGACAATAAAACGGTGAAGTGTGACAAGGGCTCTCGGGAGGAGCCGGACTATGGAGAACGTCTTCTGAGGAAGGGGCTGCAGAGGAGAGTGTGTGCTGTGGCCATGGGGAGGGTCTTTCTAAGACTGTGCTCAAGGTGCGGAGAGGCAGAGAAGTGCGCATCTGCACGCCTTGGCAAGAGCCAGCGCCAAGAAGCCGGCGCTCTCCCTAGTGTGATAGAACTTCTGGCTCTTTTGGCAGAGGATCCAGGTTGGCACATTGTCAAGGTTTATTCATTCAAAGAAACACTGCCGAATATGCTGAAATAGGTGAGATCGAGGAAGGGAGGGTAGAGGGCAAGAGAGGTAACCATGAAGAATCCAAGGGCTCCCTGAGCCCTGACTGGAGTCTCTCATTGGCAACCCTAAAAAGTCTTCCTGTAGACCCAGCTGGCCTGGAACTTGCTATGTAGACCAGGCTCTACATGCCTCTGCCTCCTGAGTGCCACTATGCCCAAGCAAGTTTTTTTTAAAAAATATTTATTTTTATTGTCTGTGTGGTGTTGCACACCTTTAATCCCAGCACTTGGGAGGCAGAGGCAGGTGGATATCTGTGAGTTCGAGACCCACCTGGTCTACATAGTGAGTTCCAGGCCAGCTGAGGCTGCAGGGAAACCCTGTCTCAAAAAGACTAAAAAAAACAAAAAAAACCCCAAAAAACAAAACAAAACAACAACAACAAAAAAAAAAATTTATTTTTATTGGGGCTGGAGAGGTGGTTCAGGGGTTAAGACCTCTGGCTGCTGTTGTGGAAGACTGAGGTTCAGTTCTCAGCACCCACATGTCAGCTAACAACCATCTGTAACTCCAGTTCCAGGGGGTCCAATGCCTTCTCCAGGTCTCCATGGGCATTGCATGCATATAGTGCACTTACATATATGCAGGCAAAACATTCACACACCAAGATTTATTTTTATTTATATTTTATGTGTATTATCTGTGGGGGGACATTGCCCACAGATGCCAGAAGAGGGTGTCAGATTCAGATGGAGTTACAGGCAGTTGTAAAATGCCCAACATGGGTGGTGGGAACCCAACCCTGGTCCTCTGTAGGAGCAGCCAGTGCTCTTAACCAATGAGCCATCTCTCCAGCCCTGGACACACTCTGATGCTGGTTTGCAGTGCAAACTGCAGGACCAGTTCTTGACTTCCCTCTGTGTCCTGTGTCTCCCTAGAGTGGCATTCTGCATTTCTGTGGCTTCCAAGTCTTAGAACCTCAACTGGCATACAGCATCGGACACACGCCACTGGAAGACCGAACTCGGATCCTGGAAGGATGGAAGAAACGCCTGGACACTATTTGGGACGAGACACCACTGTATTTTGCTCCAAGCAACCTCTTTGACCTAAACTTCCAGGCAGGATTCTTACTGAAAAAAGAGGTTCAGGAAGAGCAGAAAAACAACAAATTTGGCCTTACTGTGGGCCATCACCTGGGCAAGTGCATCCCAACTGACAACCAGGTCAAAGCGAGAAAATAAGAATTTTTTTGTAATATATAGTCAAACCCGGTATCTTTTTTCAGTTGGCCTGACTTGTTTTAGTTTTTAAACTTTAGGTTTTCCCTTTGTTCCTTAAGGATAGGAAAAGAAGCAGGCTCTCTTCATACTTTTTCACATAGTTCTGTCATCAAATGTAACTGATTCTTACCAACCAATATTATAGTATATAACAAAACAGGGTTAGAAGCCAGAAGCCTCTTGGGATAGGAAGCAGTGAGAGGTGCAGAAGTCCGCCAGAAAATGCTCCTGAATGTCATCTACACAATTCCACTCCTTTCCTGAGGGCTGACTTGAGCTAGATAGCATCCAATGATCCAACTCTCCAATAATCCATTTCTTTTAATTACCTCCCCATGGTTTACAGCTGGAGGGAATTGCTCAGAAAAAATAATGACCAGGACTGTCAGCCTAAGGGACTTGGCTCCTTAGTAGCTAGCAAGCTAATCTTGTTTATGATATATATTGGTTTCAATTACTATGCAATGACTAATATGCCTCACAGGAGTATTTCACTCGGGCTTCTCTCTTTTGTGTACAGCACACATGTACATACCTTGAAATGAATACTTAGTAAAAGTCTCTGTCTCTTTCTTCCAATTATATGTTTGCAGAAATAAACCTACCGTTTATTGGCTGTACTTAGTGAATTCAAGAGAAAAAAATACTGCTTCGTGTGGTGGCGCATGCCTTTAATCCCAGTACACAGAAGACAGAGACAGGTGGATCTTTGAGTTCGAGGCCAGCCTGGTTTATGTAGAGAGTTCCAGGTCACCTAGGGCTACAGGGAGACCCTGTCTCAAAAAAAAAAAAAAAAAAAAAAAAGATTTCTCACTGCTGGAAGCTAGAGAGCTGGCTCAGTGGTTAAGAGCTCTGGCTGCTCTTCCAGAGGACCCAGGATTAATTTCTAGCACCCACATGGTAGCTAAAAACCATCTGTAACTCCAGACCCAGGGGATCTGATGCCCTCTTCTGGCTTTTACAGGCATTGTACACATATGGTACACTTATCTACATGCAGAGAAAACACTCATACGTGTAAAATAAAAAAGTTTTTATTTTATTTTATGTGTGTTCGTGTATTGCCTGCATGTAGATAAGTGCACCTGTGTCATACAATACCCATGGAGGTCAGAAGAGGCTGTCAGATCCCCTGGGACTGGAGTTAGGAACAGTTGTTAGCTGCCGTATGGGTGCTGGGATTCGAACCTGAGTCTTCTGCAAGAACAACCAGTGTTCCCAATCGCTGAGCCTCTCTCCAGCCCCATAAAATCTTTTAAAAGAGCTAAAATAGTGCTATGTGTGGTGGCACACGTCTTTAATCCCAGCACTCAGGAAAGCAGAGGCAGGCAGATCTCTGTGAGTTTGAGGCCAGCTTGGTCTACATTGAGAGTTCAGGCTAGCCAGAGCTACATAGTATGACCCTGATGGGAGGAAGAGAGAGAGAGAGAGAGTCTTTAATACCAAAAAACAGCCTACCAAACAAAAAGTAAAAGCAAACCTCTTCATTTCTGATCTATTATATAAATTTTGGAAGGTCTTCTACAGTATTGTGAAGCTGATGATATTTGTTTTTATTTTTAATTAATTTGTCTTTAGAGACAGGGTCTCTCTGTAGTCACAGCTGTCCTGGAACTAAGTATTAGACCAGGCTGGCCTCAATCTCATAGTGATCCATCTGACTCTGCCTCCCAAGTGCTAGGATTAAAGGTGTGTGCCACTATGCCCAGCTATCCAGTTCATTTTTTTTTAATCATTCAGACTGCATCCTCTCCCTCTTCCGACTTCCTAGGGCATTGCAGGACACTGGTGCACTTACATACATGCAAGCGATAAAGTTGTACACATAAAATAAGTAAATGTTTTTAAAAAGGTTTTTTAAAAATTACAAGTATGTCTATATGTGGGTATATGCATGTGTGTATGGTGACCACAGAGCTCAGAAGAATGTATTAGATCCCCTAGGGCTGGCTTTAAAGGCAGTTATGAGCCACCTTATGAGGTGGATTTTCTTCAAGAGCGGCCAGTGTTCTTAACTTCTGAGCTATATCTCCAGCTCTGATGACATTCTTTTCAGGGATGTGTTTGAATTTCATGACTTTTGGGATAAAGTTATAGGCCTAGAATTGTATTAACTTAGAGAATGCTTTTAGCACTGTTCGAGGTATGTGTGTGTTGTGTATGAGATGTGTTTGGGGTGTATGGGGTGGTATTTGTTGGGGGTCAGAAGCATAGCCTCATGAATGTGAAACAAACACTCTTCTACTTGAAATGCAAGCCAGTCCTGTGGGTGGTGTAGCCCCCAGCACTCTCAGCACTCAGGAGACCAAGGCAGGAGGATCAGAAGCTCAAGGCCCTTCTCAGGGGCATAAAGAGTTCTAGAGGCCAAGAAACAAATCCTGAAGGCCATCTGTTGGTGTAATCCAAATAAGACTGTCGTAGAGCGCCCTCTTGCGGTGCATCGATGCAAAGCCAGGCAGCCAGAAAAATCTTCACTTCTGAGAGTGCTGGATGTTTCATTTTGACAAATCAAATCCATCTTTGTTGGTATCAGTGAAGTTGATAACAGACATTCAGGTCAAATGGGAATCCTCTGAAAAAGCAGATCAGAGGATTCAGTAAGGAATCCAGAGGCAGCCAAGGATGTGGCTTGCGCTGGCCCCGCAGGGCTGCTTCGTACTGAATATTCCGTTCCTCAGAGAATTTCAAAGACACTTAACGGAGCACCAGAGGGCTGGAGAGATGGCTTTAGCAGGTAAAGGCATGCTAGCCAACAAACCCAACATCTGAGTTCAACTCCCTACCCCCACATGGAGGAAGGCGAGAACCAAGTCCCGAAAGTTGTACTTTGATCTCCACACCTACACCAGGCACGTGCACACATGGAGCACACACACAAATAATGTCTCAGGGACAGCATTTACTCTGACTCACCCAACCAATAGGCCACAGGAACCAAGGACATAGAAGTGTGCCAAGACTTTACTCTCCTGGAACTGCATTGTTGTGAAGAATGGAAGTTAAACGGACAAACATGCCAGGCACTGGAAAATGTCAGAAAAAAAGCGGGGTTCAAGGTCAGGGTATGCACTGAGGGAGCCGTTCCACACAAGTCAATCAAAAGCGGTCCCATAAAGCCATGCTGGTGCAGGGATCTAATAGTGACCAGAAGGCAGATATTGTCTATCAGGAATACTCTATGCAGGAGGATATCCTGTGCAAATCCCTGAGGTTGGAGCATGCCAAGGATGTTTGAGGAACAGAAAGTTAACTAGCAGGATAAAAGCACAGAAAGTGGGAGGTTGGCAGGTGAGGCATCACCTGGATCAGAGCACACCAGGCCTTGGAAGCACCAGACCGAGTCACTGGAGGATTTGGAGCAGAGACATGCTAAGGCTTGTTTAAAAGGAATAATTCTGGTTAATGTGTGAGGATCAGGTGTGAGGGGCAAAGATAGCCCCAGATGCTGTTAAAATAGTTGAAGCAACAGGTATTTGACCATGGTCAGATTCTGAATGTATTTCAAAGGTCAAGGTAAGCCAGGCATGATAGTGCACACATTTAGTCCCACCACTCGGGAGGCTGGTGAATCGCTGTGAGGTTGAGGCCAGCCTGGTCTCTATAGTGAGTTCCAGGCCAGCTGGGGCTACAGGGAGACCCTGTCTCAAAACAATAACAACAACAATGATCAAAGGACAAGGGTATCAGGATTTGATGACTGATTTAATCCAGATCAAGTGAAAAACGCAGAGGCATTTTGATCTAAGCAATTGAAGAATAGAGATTCCATTTGTTAGGATGAGCAATGATCTGGAAGGAACATTTGAAATAGGAATGGGGTGTGTGTGGGATCAGAATTTGGCTTCCCTCATGTTTGAGATGTTTGCTAGTGGCTCAGGCTGACCAGCAAGCAGCAGGTCACCAGGGCCCTAGAGTTCAAGAAGTTATGACTCTAGGCACATGTGGGAATCTTCATCATAGAAATGGTATTTAAAGCAATAAAAGTGGGTGAAGTCACCTAGAGCCATATTATCCTTGAGACCTGATGATTGATCCCTAGGACTCTTCAATGTCAGGAGGTCAAGAAGAGACAGATGGGAATGGCCAGGCAGATAGGAGAGGCAACTGTGGTGCCCTGAGAGCCATGTATAGAAAGTGCACCAAGAAGTGCATCAAGTGTGTCAAATACTGCTGCTCAACCCAATAAGATGGGGTCTGAGAACAGAGCACCAGGCTTGGCCCACGTGCAAATCATTTCCTGGTGATTTGGACCAGGGCCATTTCAGCATGGTGGTGTGATGAAAACCTGATGGGTTCAAGAGAACAGGGAGGAAGTGCAAACAGCACAGATGTGCGAGGAAACAAAATGGCTTACCTGATGTCTTCAGAGATAAGAGGTGTCAGCACATATACTAAAATTGGAACGAACGATACAGAGATTATCTTGGCCCGCGTGCAACAATGACATGTAGGTTTGTGAAGTGTTCCATATTGTTTTAAGTGTATTGTTTCCATTATTAAAAATAAGAAAAAAAGAGGTGTCAATAAATTTACAGATGAGGGATAACTCAAGGTGTTGGTGCTGAGGACAATTAAAGGACTCTATCATTTAAATGCCTTTTCTGTCTTTATTTTTCTCTTTTTGGTCTTTTTGAGACAGGGTCTCCCTGTAGCCCCAGCTGTCCTGGGACTCACTATGTAGATCAAGCTGATGTTGAACTCGAAGAGATCCACCTGCCTCTGCCTCCCGGGTGCTGGGATTAAAGGCTTGCACCACCAGGCCTGGCTAATTTTTTTTCTTTATTCTTGAGAATTTTATACATACATACAGTGAAATGTGATTATTCCCACCCATTTCTCTCCTCCAACTCCCTCATATTGCTCCCCCCAAATATACCCTCTCCCAACTTTTTTTTTTTTTTTTTGATAATTCACTGAGTTCAATTAGTGCTGTCTATGTGTGTATGGGGCCATCCTCTGGAGCATGGGCAACTTACTAGCAGGGACAGCCTCAAGAAAGAATGGTTCTCCCTCCCCCAGCAGCTATCAACTGTCAAAAGTTCCTCAGTAAGGGGAGGGAACAGTGATCAAAGAAGATAGCTAACGTCAACCTCTGGCCTATACACACACACATACGTGCACCTACATGCACACACACATACATTCACCATATATACATACACACAAAATCAGAAAATGTTAACTTGGCATTTCTAGACTTCAAGAGCACTAAAAACATATGGTAACCAAATGGAAAGTGGTAGGGATGGAACATTATATACATTGGTTCTCAAAATATAGTACATGAGGGCAAAATACTGATCTGAAGATGGGCCTCCTGTGGAGTGCAGCAGCCAGAGTGTGGCAGCAATCCTGGGTTACGTAATTTAAGCCCAGTGTCGGGAATAAGAAGGCAGCTGCCCAGTTTCAAGACAGTAAGAGCCTTACTCCGAGCCTGGTGTGGTGATGCAGCCTGTAATCTCTGCACTTGCGAGGCAGAGGCAGGAGGATAGAGAGCCTGGGCTATATAGGAAGTTCCTGTCTCAAAAAACAAGCAAAAGCCTTACTCTATCATCTTAAAAGATTCTCAGCAGCATATAAGCCCAGAGACCTGAATGATCCCTTCTCAGCACACAACAGGAACTCTGGA